ATGCCATCTTTCATAACCTCAATTTCCTAAAAATACCAACTACTAAGTCATCTAGAAGATGCTTTGTGCAAGAAAAACTTATCCTCTGACTATTGATTTCAGCCGAGGGTTTAAATTACAATTCCTCTTTCCTTAGAGGGTTGACTTCAAGTCTCATAGCTGATTCCAACAAAGCTAAGAGTACTCAAATCACTATTTCAATTGCTCATACATTTTCTGGATGGTTTCAAAGCAAGGAGATAAACAAGGCTGCACCACTGTGACCTACTAGCCCCCCAGTCACAAATTAGGGTGGCCTCCTTCGAAGATCCTCCTGCAAACACTGAGGACTAAAATGGGCCCCCCACTGACCAGTCAAGGTAGTGAACAACACACATGAAGTTATGCCCAGATAGATAATCCAATGCCTACTATCTGACTGGTAGATTTAACATGCAGACTTGACACAGGTCACAAAAGCTGAATGTCCTGAGTGTGTTCTGCTTTGATTCCCTGTTGTCCAACTAGCAGCTGACAGCAGTTACTAAGTAGTGATGAAATACAGGAGCAGAGGTATGTCAACTCTGTGATCTAAGAAGACCTGTCTGTTCACTTAGAGAAAAAACCCCAAAGCCATTTGATTTTGTATTTCAAGCAGAAGATATCATTACTGGAACTGCAGATACTACTCTTCAACAAGGGTCTCTCTCTGACAAGGGTCAGAAAGAGGTGAATGGGTCCCTAGACGTTTTTCCACTAATAAACACCACCTGTCTCCTCTGATTGCCTATGCCAATTCTTCCCAAACTGGAATTAGTCAAAATCCCGTGGTGGTGGTGGTAGTGATGACTGTTGTTTAGTGTCGTCAAGTCATAGTGAACCCTGTATGGCGTTTCTGAGGAGTGGCTGATGAGTTGGAACCACTGACCTTGTAGTTAGCAGCCCAGTGCGTATCCTACAGTGCCACATCTGGTGGAGAGGATGCTAAATGCAGATTGCTGGGGGCCACCCCAGAATTTGTGCTTCAGTACACCTGAAGTGGGATCTGAGATCTTGCATTTCTAACAAATGGCCAGGTGATATGAATGTTAGTTCAGGATCCCACTTTGAGAACCATTGTCTAAACCACGTTCGATTCAAGATTCTCAGGTGAAACCTCATGATCTAACTTTTAGAAGTCCTTCAACATGATCCCACCACTTTTAAATGCTACCAAAATGTCTCAGGAACCTGGCAAGGCAAAATGGACCTGACAGGGCCTAAAAACACAAGGGCTAGGAGTTTCTGGGTGAGAGATAGCCATGAGAAACGTGTCTATAACCAGGCTAGTTCAATATTACAAAGGCATAGAGGAAGGAGCCCCCGTGGAATGATGGTTAAAGTGCTCAGCTGACAAGCACAAAGATAATGGTTTGAAACCCCCAACCACTCTACAGGAGAAAGATGTGGCAGTCTGCTTCCATAAAGACTCTTGTTGTTAAGTCAGTTTTGACTCATAATTACCTTGTGTATGGCTTTCAAGGGATGGCTGGTGGTTTTTAACTGCTGACCTCATGGTGAACAGTCCAGCGCTTATCGTACAGTGCCATAACACCAGGACTATAGCCTGGGAACCCTAAGGCACAGTTCTACTCTGCCCTGTAGAGTTACTATGAACCGCAAATGACTCAATGACAGTGGGTGTGGTTGGGGTTTGAGGCTTGGAGGCAGGCCTCAAAGCACCCAATCTGACTCTAAGTTGAGTGCCTGAAGCACAAAAGACACCCTTCTCAACCCCAAGAAGCAACTACACTTCTGAGTTATCTGACAACACTAACACCATTTTTCAAGTTCCCCAAGGAAGAGTGAAGGAGCTCTGGTAGCGTAGTGGTTACGAGTTGGGCTGCTAACCTCAAGGTCAGCAGTTCAAATCTACCAGCCACTCCACGGTAGATGAGGAAAGTGAGGCTTTGTGCTCCCATAAAGATTTACAGCCTCAGAAACCCTATGCAGGGTCGCTATGAGTCAGTACTGACTCCAATGCACTCCACCACCAAGGAAGAGTGAGGCCTCGCTACTCAAAATATGGCTAGTGGACTAGCAGCATTGCACCACCTAGCAACTAGTTAAAATGCCAGCTCTCTAAGCCCACACTAGGATAAGGCCCACAGGTGATCCTCAGCACATTAAAGTCTGAGAAGTTCACTGTTCCCTGATACAGGGAAACTTTGGCACGATATCTTGAAGGGCACTCAGCCCAACACCTAAACCCTAGACTCCTCCACCTTCATGGGAAAGAAACCTCACACTTGTTATTCCAGAAAACAACTGAATACTAAATTAAGAGTTAACGATTAAGGAGTTCTTTCATTTGCCAATATGTTTGAGGGTTTGTTTTTTTGACATTTTAGTAATGACATCTCATTTATAAAAATTTTCACAAAATACACCACCTGACCCCAAGGTCTGATGTGGCGCTGTGGGCTAAAGCATCAGACTGCAAAGTCGTTTGAACTGCAAAGTCCGTGGTTCAAGCTCCTTGGAAACCCTATACAGGGTCGCTATGGGTCGAAATCAACTCAACTGCACTTATCAACAACATTCATCATTAATGAGGAAAGTTCCCTTCTACTGGGCAGAAATATCGCTAAACACTTTATTATTCCAATGATTTTCTCTTGGTATGTAGATGAGAATGTTACTGTAGAGTCCATTAGGACTCATGTCAACCCCTTGTGTACAGAGAGCTGCTCACTGGGTTTTCAAGGCTGTGACTTTTCAGAATCTATCACCAGGCCTGTCTTCTGAGGTGTCTCTGAGTAGGTTTGAACTGCTAAACTTTCGGGATGAGGGCTCAAATATTATTCTAGTTCTGGAGCTCACAAGCCAGTATTATAATGCTCTACTTGAAGTCCTGGTGTGGCACTGTGAGTTAAAGCACTAGACTGTAAAGTCACTTTGAACTGCAAGATTCTAGTTCACCAGTCGCTCCTTGGAAACCCCTATACAGGGTCACTATGGGTCAGAACTGACTCGATGGCACTTAGCCACATCAACAAAATAATGCTCAGAATGCAGGAACATTCCAAGCAACCTTAAAAAGGAGAAAAGTTAGTTCTCCTCCAGGTCCACACAAAGTGTTGAGAAACATATTTGTAATTAACGTGACAATACTGATACTGTACTATCTTAAAATTGCCATTCATTCAATTATCTTGAATAGAGTAAAAAGTGAGCCTATTTCCAACTAGATTTGGTTAAGACAGCTAAATCCAAACTCCATTGTCATTAACGTAGAAAAATGTTTTTCTTAAATAATTTCTGTAAGGTACATTAATCTAAGCAGGCAGAATTCTGAGTTCTAAGGTCAGACTGTCAAAACTGAACAACACTATTGTTGTTAAGTGCCGCTGAGTCGGTTCTGGACATTAAGCTCCTTTTTTAATTTGCTGGTGGCACAGCAAGTTCTACTCTGAGAGAGACCAGTATCTTCCTCAAAGGCTTAAGAAGGGGCATGGAAATATACATGAAAATGAAATACACTTGACAATCTCAAATCCCTGTGTGAAAGTGATTCAAAAGCCTCTGCTTGGATTCTGCAAGTTCACTACCAGTCAGAATGTTAATTCAAAAAGAGCTGGGAGATTTGAAATCACATAAGCTTATAAAAGCAATTCAAACCAGTTTCTCTTCATTTGATAAGCTTTTTCCGATTCAGAATTCACCTGTCAACATTTTCGGTAATGAACTTTTAAGTTTGGAAACATTACTCAAGCATTCTCAGGTTCGAGAGAAATTACATTTGGAAGAACAAATCTAAATGCAGAACTAGAATGGGATTTAAAAAAAGTTTCTAGAAGGATACTTTAAACTCAAATTCTGCTATACCAAAAAACGCTCTTAAAAAAAAAAACAAAAAACCCCACTAAAACTGAGGGAGTCCAGCTTTTTGTTTTAGTGTTAAAAGAAAAAAACAAAACAAAAAAAGTACTATTCTGACAGCATTTGATACTTTATTGAGTAGGTAAGAATACAGGTACACAAACAAGTTCTGGCCTTAAAATATTAACCAAACAATATCCTGGAAAGCCAGGGACAAATAAGCCATGCTAAGAGTCTACAACTGGGTTTATAATGAAGAAAGATCATAGATCTAGATCCCAACAGCCTTCCATATGTCCCAATTGCTTTAACACTCTTCACCTCATTTTATGGACTCCAGCCCATCACATTTCAGGGACCCAGGAATGATTTCATAACTTAACTGAGTTTTTAAAAAACATTCAGTAGCCAATGAAATAACTGAAACAATATCAACAACCTTAACGTTACCTCCCGGGAAAAAAACAGATGCTTAGGAGTGCACTTAAAAATTACCCTAAGTGTTTTAGCTAGGGGAATATGATTGAAGTCTTATGCTTGTGAGGCCACATCCAATTTGTAACATGAAATAAAAAAGCAGAATTTAAAAATCCAGTTACCGTGGGCCAAGCACAATAAAGGGTATTCCTGGGGGAGGGCGCAAGGAATCACCTCTCAAGGAAACATCAACACAAAACACACTGATTCTGGGAGCATCCCAGAGCTAGAATTCTCATCATACAGGAAGTGAATCAACAACATACCAGTTACAGAGATGAATTAAAAAACTTGAATGACAATGTATACTGATCCGCAAATTTATATGGGATCTGAGCCTATATTCCCTTCACCTGAAAGCTACTTAGAAGCAAAATCTGTATGTTCTTGATACTCACAGTTCCAGAAAAAAGTTCCTGGTATAGTGCTGTAATAGAAGCATTGAACTGCTAACCCTGATTCAAATTCACCAGCCACTCCTCAGAAATGCTATATGGAGTGGTTATGAATCGGAACTACCTCGATGGCATATAACAACCACAGCTGATACTCAGTTCATATATTGGGCCAGAATGAGAGAAAGGCAGCTTTAGATGATACTAATGAAGTGTTTACACAATGTTACCAAACCTCACTACATATAAAGAAACACTATTTCATTAGTACTACACCACTACACCTACTTTTGTATATCGATGAGGGGATTTGGAGGTCAACTTCTTCAGGTCAAGGAAAGCATCTCCATTTTCTGTTTCACCCACACTTCTATCCATGGCTCCTTGGTTTCCAATTCTTTACACCTGGTAAATAAATCAGCACAAAATAGTCTTGGAGAACAGTAAGTTTTCAGAATTCTTGGCTGCTTATGAAATTGATTTTTTTCTCTGACAAAGGCAAGTTTTCAAGACCTTCACAAAACATCCTCACCTAACAATCAGGCTATAAACTAGAAGCCGCTTGGAAATACAGTCCACTAGTACTCAGTTACCAGTAAAGTATCCCAAGCACCAGCAGGGTAAGGAAAGCAGAAGTGGAAGGTGTCCAACTCAGGGCACAGTCTTTACTCAACGTAAATACAAAAAGAAATCAAGATTAGTCGCTGTCACCCATGGGAACGGTTTGGACGGTGGAGGGGGAAGTTCCCCTGAGGGGGCGACTGGTTGGTGCCAGGGATCAGGGAAACTCCGGCTGTTGAAAAGTGCTTGTCACTTGCCAATGGACGGCGCCAGCTGCCCCTTATTAACCAGGCGCCAGGAATTGGGGACAGGGCCCGAGCGCCCCTCGCCCGGCCCGCAGCACCTGTGGCCATGTCAGGGGCGCCCGCGCCAAGGACGGACCACTAGAGGCGGCTTCAGCTCTGAGACTTGGCTTCCTGGGCCGCGACCCCAACTCCCAGCCCCACGCTCAGGCTCCGGCCTGGCGGCCCCCTCCAAAATAAGGGCGGAGACGGTACTCACAGAGGGAAGGAGGACTGGAGGGAGCCGGGAGACCCAATCCCCCAGCCCGGGCGTTCAGAGCTGGAGCCGGAGCAGGCCCGCCGCCGTCCGCCCCGG